TAAAGAGCCTCAGCCAGTCTGGGAGGCTGGCACGGGGAATTAAACTCTAGCAACATCTCTGACTAGCAGAGATATCTGTGGATCCAACAATCTAACTTCCACCAGCACTGTATAAAATCAGAGAAAAAAATTATCCACAGTGGGCCTAATTTTTGATTTAAAACTAAGACTAATTTTACATGGAGGCAAGTATTCACCAGCCTTTTTAAGATTAACTATGCAGTTGCAGAACTGTTCACCAAGCTTTGCAGTTTGGGTTATTAGTCATATGGATGCCAAGAAACAGAGACAAAAGAGTATTTTAAGAGCAGAAACATTCATGACATACTGAAACAAGAAACAACCATTTTCTGCTAGCACAGACACAGCCTGAAGCAACTGACTGGAGAAAACCATTCTTTCCATTCTGTTCACTAAGTAGGGCAACCCTTTCCTCCCCCTTCATATCATATCAGCACTTGTTCCCAACTGTGAACTACAGCAGGAGGCTATCCCTGCCTCAAAGACTTTTACCTTCTTTCCGCATCCTCTCTGGCTTAGTGCTGGTACTTTAAAAATTGCATCTTATCTGAAAAACAGACCTAAAGAAGTCTATTACAGGCATCTACACAAATAACTGCCTTCTCATAAGCAGTGACCTTGCTACAGCTGAGTTTCAGGAGCAAAATGGAAGCAAAGTCCCATCTCTCTAGGGACCCTGCTCATGGAGTGGTTACTAATCCCCTGCAGCTGAGCTGACCCCACCCTGATATGCTTTCTGTAGAGCAGGCAACAGATTTATCACCTCTCCTTACGGCTCTAACTGATGCAGTATTTTAGGCCTCCCAGCCAGGTCTGTGTTCCTGCTGCTTCCTTTGGTGGTGCTGTCTATTTTGAAAGCTGAAGCTGACCTTTTGCCCAGCAAAGTATTTAGGGTCTTCTCAGCCTCTGAAAAACAGATTAAGGAGAATTCAAGTCCAACCCACCTTTTTGCTTTATTTACATAGGAACTGCAGCCTGGAACAGAGGTGGTCAAACACCATCATGTCTACTTCCTCTGGCTAACAGTATTCTCTTACACACATGTAATTTGGCCTCAAAAAATTGCTTGTAATTAGGTATTAAAGCAGAACCCAAGCCCTTCTGTTTCCCACTGTAGATTCCTATATCCAGGGTCTTGTCTAACCAAAACCAACTGTAACATGGGCTGACCTCTCTCTCTGCAAGAATAAAAATAACTCAGAAGATTATATGTATTAATATTATGTGATGTTATCCACCATAACAATACTATGTACCATGTTCCCTTCATCTTTCCTCTAAAGGTTTTGCTGTCTCTCCATCACTCCCTCTTGAATGGGTTACTGGGGAAAACATTGCTTCTCATCAGCATTTTTCAAGTTCTTCCACTATAAAGACAGACTACTAGAGCTTTAAAATTTGCCTTTTAACTTCTTCTATCCCTGCATTGTCCACTTCGTAAATTCGCTCCTATAGTAGCACAATCCTATCGCCAAATAACACTGACAGGACACAAGAAATTGTGAGACATGGTAATTTTACATTTGATAATACAGACACGCATACCCCAGGGACATTTGTAAACCTATCTGTGAATAAATTCTCATCCTCCCTGCACTGGTGGGAAAACACTGCAGTTCCAGAAGATATACAAACTTTGTCCTCCCTGGTCTTGTGTGGGAGGAGACTTAGACAGGATCCCATAGGGTTCCCAAACAGCCTTCAGCATTTTTGTAGGCTGGAGCAGTTTCCAGGTGCTTACTGTTTAATCATTGCTACACATCACAGAGTACCTAAGCATGATTCCCTTTTAACTTACATGGAACAGACTGGCAAACGGACCAATTTAAGGTCAGTGAAAGAGTCAGGTTTGAGAAAAAAAATGTTTGCACCACCAGATCCCCTGTCCCAAAACAATGGTAGTAACGATACCTCATGTCAGTACATTTCTGCTAGTGTGTACTGCTGGTCTGTATGCTGACACGGCTGTGGAAATTGAAAAGAGCCTCTGGTCATATGGAACAACTACCCTGCCTTCCTTGTTGAAGCAAAGGTGACTTAAGAGACAAGTCTATTCCCAAACCACTCAAAACCTCCATGGATTAGGTGAAAGAAATTCTATTACTCGCATAAAAACACCCAAGCAACTTCAGAAGCATGCTGGTGGTTTCCAGGCTGAAAGACTTGGTACTGTGAGAGCTGTTTGAGATGAAAAAGGAGTATTTAGTAAGAGATAAGCAAAAAAGCTGGAAAAAGGCTGAAATGTTTATAAAGTTGGAGTTTTGGCACCTAAATTTGGTGCTGAATAATATCTTTTTCTAAATGGAATTTCTTTTATGAATGGAAAATAAAAATTCAATTCCTTTGAGACTACACCCAGATTTTTTTAAGCACAATTCAGTTTGCCCAAAAAGGTATTGAAAGGGAGCAATTCCAGCCACTCCATGTATTAACTTTACCTAAGTAAACCAACAAACCTTCTGGTTACTGGAAAGTGATACTAATTCTTGAGTCTGCTTTTCAAGTGAATATTACAAATAAGAAGGCTAAAGCTGAACTATGACATTAGAAACATGAAAATCTACTTTTTGTCATGGTCTAAATACGAAAGCATAGTAAAAGCACTGCTTTCCTGTTCAACTAGAAGCCTAAACTTCCTCATCAGTACTTATGTTTTTGGTTGGGTTGGTTCAGCTTCCCAAAATGAAGGAAAAAAAAAGCAGTGAGACAGGCCTGTTTTAAAGACAGCTTTGTGCCAACATTAGTTTGTATATTTGTCACCAAAGTGATAATTACTATGCTTTCTTTAAAACCCTAGGAAAATATTCAAGTGTTGAATAGATTCAAAGAATACATAGTTCCATGGCAGTGCATCACATCCCTAAAAAGAAAGAGCTCACAAGCAACGGAACGTGAAAATCAGGGAGGTGGGAATCCATACAAAACAGAAAAGGCTAAAAAAGGATTCTTAACACAAAGGGGCAAAGGGTGAGTGACAGTCCTTGTTGGATTTTTGGCCATTTGCTTCTTGCATTTCTTCCATATGGGTATAAAGAACTACCCAAGGTTCTTTACAGTTTTCCAGTCATGTTCACCGTTGAATTCCCATGCCTCAATTCAACACTACAAATCAGAATAGCGTACAAACAGTAGTAACTGAAAAATTTAAGGTTAGTCTAATGCTGGGGCTTGAGTGTTTCCCTCTGATGTCAAAAATCTCCAGTCTGTGGAGAACTGCACCTTCATTATCAGAATAACCAATCCCCACCAATCCTTCCCCTCCTATTGTCCTGAAGAACAAGAAATAAGTGACTAATCACATCACAGCAGACAAGCAGTGTGTTTTCCAGAGAAAGGGAAAACTAAGGTCATTGCATATGCAGCACTTTCATCACTGTGGGTCAATCATGTTCATTTGGGGAGAAAAACAGAAGCTGTGATGATCTTATACCACAATTGATTCAGAAGAGTAAACTGAGATGAAGTCAGAGCATTTGTAATGTTCCTATAAAGCACCACCCCCCTGTCAAGTAGAGGTCATAGATTACAGGATATGAAAATATAGTCTCCTTAATCCTGGAGGTATGAGGGGTGCAGGTGTCCTGCTACTAATCCACATTTGGCCGGAGTGTGTAATGGTTTCAGCTATATCTTGTGATGTGTGATGCCAAGCACAAACACGCAGACATCATTTCAGCACTAGAGCACGCAGAACAACAGGAAAGATAACTTGCTGTGCATGCTCCTCTACATAACTGTCCAGCTCCACTGGCAATATTGGAAAGCAAAGCTTGGTTATAGGAAGACTGAGATGAATTTCCGTTGTCTGAAGAGCTTTGATTGCAAAGGGAAAATAGGGACCATCTCTACATGGTCAAACGCTGGCAGCTAATTAGCTCTTCCAGTCTGGCACAGCTTAAAGCATTCTAGATTGTTGATTTACAACCCACTTAGTCCTACCCAGCTCTGTCTAAAATATGGGAATATGGCTTTATGTACACTCATGTTATGCACTGCATGACTTAGCAGATTCCTCCACACTCTGGTAAGGAACATCTGTTAGTGTTACTTTCCCCTACCAGTCATACATCTGTGTAAAACAGAAGCAGAAACATACTCTAGGAACAATACAGTGTAAGGGGTTTCAGCATTATATAAGATGTTATAAGTTTTACAGAAAAAAAATAAATCCATGTAAATGTTTTATTTCCATCTGTAGTCTACAAACATGTACCCAGGCAGACATTTCATGACTATTCATTTTCAGATGGGCAACAAATTGGGAATGCAAAAAAACCTTTATTAGCATAAAAAGTACATATTCAGTAATCGATACTCAAATTCCTTCCCAGCATCTGGCATGTTTGATACATCTTGCTGTATCTGCTACAGCTGAAGGAAGAAGGGATTGTAAGATGTCAGAGGTTTAGGGTTAGAGGGGTGTTGCTGGTGGGTTTTTTTGTTTTGTGCTTAAGTTATGTAAACAATTCAGGGTGAAACCTGTACAAGCAAAGTATTAGCTATCATTTCTACACTTACGAGTTAAATAAAAACCAATTTCAGCAATACAAAAAGCAATATAAAAAAGTATTCAATGCATGACATGCATCAGAAGAAAATGTAGGAGGACATGGCAAGTGAAATGTCTTAAAAGTTAGATCATACTGGAAATTCTCTGTAAATACCTGTATGGCTTAACATGGAAAACATTATAAAATTACTTGGTTCCATAAGAAATCTGTACAGTTGCATCTATTTTAACTTCATTAAACACAAATATATTAGAACAACAGAGTGATTAAAATGAATAAAAAAGATCATTCATGTTTAACATTTCAAGCTGCCTATTTGATAGAGTAACTAGACAGAGGTAGATGTCCAAAATTAGTGGCCAAGCTATTCTAGCAAGACCTTTTAGCTATCTTGTCAAGTTTTTACATTCAAGGCCAATATGAAAAGATGAAGGATGTCTTTCAAAAAGGGAGCCAGAGAACCTGTACCTGATGGAAGTAGCTTCAATTATACTGCTGAAAGTAAAGAGTAAGTAAGAATATATGATTTACCAGACCACTGGATCAAGTACTAAAGCTCATGCAGTCATTTTAACAAAAGTGAAATTAACTTATTCATTCCCTATGCTTATTTTAGAAGCTGAACCATTGCCAGCTATGTGGCTCCTAACTAGTCAAAATAAGACTGCAGGGTACCACGGCGGCGGATATCACACGTCCAGCAATGGAAACCACCTCCCAGTGAATTGGCATGGCGGATACTCACTTTAATTGTAGAAATGCCTGCAAGAAACATACATTGCATACTTTAAAGTTGAAATCTCAGATGCATGTGGTAAGCTTTGATCAGAACATTAGATAATGCTTCAGCAGATCATACAGCTTGATGCAAGGATGGAAAGTATTTCTTACTCCTTTGTTAAGAATTTATTTTCCCAAATTCTAGGCAGAGAACAAGCTAGGAACATGGCTGGCTTGTTTATTCCAGCAATACCCTCAGGAATAACAGAACGTGGAGGACAGCCAGTGTCTGAGGTGTTATGACGTGCCAGTAATAAAAAGATAAATTCAGGTTTTGCAGTATGTGAAGAATTAGCTGAAATTCTGCTACAATATATGACCAAGGCACATTTACTTTAACCTGTTTGAGCATTTATGGTTCAGACAGTGAATGTGCTCTTTCAAATGCCTTTCAAGAAAAGCAGCATTCAAAGTACAGAGCTCTGAATCCCTTTTTCTATGAAAGGGGAAAAGAGGCTGCTGTACTTGTTACCTAGGTTAAGCTTCCTCCCACTTCTTTTTGCTCAGATATTTCAGCTGTGGCTCAGCTTATATGAAGTCCTGCCAGATGGACTAGGATCAGAAGACTTCTCTGTTATGAAGCTTGCCTTTTTGCTTCTTGGTACTTTCAAGAGCTAAGGAGCAGCTCAGTGGAATCCATCATCTAGATCAGCAATAGTTTTGTTCCCAATTTACCCATTTCAGTCCTAGAAACTTACTGACTATAGAAGTTTATCTAGAACTCACACAAACTGTGAAGTTCAAGCATGAAAGATACGTCATGATTAGCATTAATAGCCTAATTTTTAAGTACTTTCAAGCATTTATAAGTCCTCAGCTCCTTGATCATGCAGAAAATTAAAACAACCTACAACTGAAAAGCTAAGGAATTCACTAAGGGTTGTACAGCCAGTCTTTAAAAGCAGATTAAAGCACTAGATTGCATGGTTCTCACCTGCAATCTTTTCAGATTTAAGGGAATCTTAAGTGCACTTGCACCCACGGCACCAACCCTTCCAGGTTCATAGTTGCTATCTTCCACCTTTGGATCAGTCTCTCCTTCCCATCACTTTTGTCCCTTTAAAGGAGTCTTCTGAGAAGTATTATCTTTTACTCTACAACACAATGATTCCCTCACTTCTCCTGACTTTGCGTCTACCCACCAGTCTTCTTTCTATCCTGTCAAGTTTCACATCACCATGTACTTATCCAGCAGCAATAGCCAGCTGGCAAGCAGCAGCACCAAGCAACCTGGCCACCCTCCTACTAACTATGAGCCACAAGTAGATCTACCTACATCTTTCCCTCCCAGCATGGTGGAAGCAGTTGGATTAAATGCATGAGTTCAGATTTTTATGTGTATATTATTTGTCTTTGCAGTGAGCAGTGCATAAGACTTTCAGATTTTATATTCAAGTACCATTCTCCTGCCGCTGCATATCTAAAGGAATTCCACCCTATCATGAGGTTACATTTCACAGAACTGAAATTCTCCATAAATGAGCAGAAATACCTGGGTTGTCTTAATTTGACAGTTTGAAGTACGTTGGGCTTGAAATTAGAAAAATCTGAAAGCATTCTGGCAACGAGGGATAGCCAGCTCTGTATCACTCAGCAATATGCACACGCAACCTCTCCAAGACAGATTTTGACCTCTAAACTGAACAGTTTTACTTTTAAAAAGAACCTAAGCTCTTCAAAAGCATGCTAGTGGTTACTTTAATTGCTATTCATACCTTTATTTGCTGCAAGCTGTAGGGGCACAAGATGTAAGAAGCACATATTCCTATGACTGAAATATTCAGGAGAGAGACCACTGAATGATTCTTACTTGTTAATCCAGTTCTTTGAGTACTTTTTCCAGTGCTGGCTGCTTTGACTACTTTAAGCAAAACTTCTGTTCATCCTGATGCACACAGCTGGTATCACAATCATTTTGGTTTAATATATGTTGAAATACGTTAAGGACATACCCAAATTTTCAAACATCTTCTGAATTGATGTCTCATTGGCATCCACCATCACACGTTTCTCATCCAGCATTAGGACATTCATGGAGAGCCATTTAGAAGACATCCACAGTGGGTGATCTAAACACATGAGAATGAATCTTCTACTGTACCAATGTTGCCCCATATTAATACTCTTACGAATACTCTTGAAACTATTGGAAAAGACAGAAGAAATATACCATCTGGGATGAGTGGCACTGGGGGTTGAATCACAGTCCAGCCTGCTTTCTTGAAGAGCTCAATCTGAAAGAGCAATTTAATTAGATTCTTAAAAGTATCACATTAGGTCCTCCAACCTCTGTCACATTTTCTCAGGCTACTTCAATATACATGACATCCCCCCCTTCCCTCTGTTCATCACTACTCTTGCCTTCATTCAAACTCTATCTACAAACTCATACAAGTTTTCATACAAGCATTTTTTAAGGACTTTTTCAAACTTTGCACAGACTAGCATTTTCTGCTGTTTTTCTCTATGCTATTCATACTAAGATATGTTAAAGACAAAGGTAACACATGCAGTATGGAGCCTGGGAAGTGAAGATATTGGTAATAGCATGAAAGTATTAAATTCTTTATTTTTTGTATTATTTCTTCCCATGTGGCTGTAAAAGCCTCTGATAGGAATTACACTGCCATTTGTAGAAAGAAAAACACCAGAAGTACCAAATAAAATTCTATCTGCATCATGTTTCATAAGAAAATGTAATTTATTTAACAAAGGGAACAAAACAAAGTCATTGAATGGAATAATTTGTGTCCTAAGAATTACACAATTAAGTTAAAAATAAGAGGAGAGTAATTTGGGTGAGAATTTACACTTCATTGTATGAATACTTGGAAGAGTTTTTTATTCAAGTGTTACCACGAGGTGGAGCTCCGATTCCGAAAACTCAATAACCAGCCTGGCCTGCCAGGATTTTAAAGAAAAGTTCCCCCCTTTCACTTGCCCCTCTGCAACAGGAGGAAACTGCAGGAGAACAACTGTCACTGCACTGCTGAGAAAGTTCTAAAGTCAAGATACAAATACATCTGTAAGTTCCCGAACAACTGAGTACTATTTAAATGCAATAATTTAGTATTACTCAAGTGCGTACAAAATAAACGTGTGGATGAGCAACTGAGCATCAGAAACCCAATCCAGCTGAGCCATTTTTAAACACAAAACACTTTCTTCTCTGCTACACCCTTACCTGACGGCAGGGACGGTCTGGGTTAGAAAGCACAAGACCAGGTCCAATGATATTAAAAGTGGCATCAATGTGCATAGGGTTAGGATCCTTAAAGGAGATTATATGCACTCTATAGTCTGGTGCAAGATGTCGCCTCATCCATTCAATGCCCATGTAATTTGTAACCTGAAAACAGGACTAAGTAAGTTTCACTGGGCTAGAATATAAACTGCATCCAAGCTTAGTTTGTCTAAAGTTTTATTTAAATAAATATTTTAAGTCAAAATAACAGAAATTTGTGCCTTTAGTTGTTTATCTGTAACACAGTCCTGTATATCAGACATTCTACAAAGCAACTTCTCTGTTAACACTCTTATTTTAACGCTGTTCAGGAATCCAAAAAGACTTAAGTACAAGTATCAATCATTCAGATAGACAGCAAAACTGTTCAAAGAAAGCTCTGTTCACCTGGCTCCTTTGTGCAAAGATATCTCTTCCAGCTCTAATGAAATCAGCAGCATCAAAGCATGGCTCAAATTCAGTAGTTACAAATTTTCCCTGAGCAGCAAGTTTATGCCTGTCTTCAACAGAGTGGATTGGATAATCCTAGTTATAGAAAAAGGAATAGCAACTTTAGGTTGGAGTTGATAAGGGAAAGTTTTCAAACTATTTGCTACAGAAAAGTATTTGGAAATTAAGAAAATATGTTTATATTGATAGCCAGAATGTTCCTTGCGTGTGGTACTTGTTACCAGAAGAAAGCATAAATGTATAAGTTTAAGTAAAAGGTTTTAAGTACATTCAAGAACAGGTGGTAAGAGTTATACCAAGAAGTTAACTCTCTTTAGAGCTACTGTCTCTATAATATACTGGGTTCTGGATGGAAAGTACTTATTGCCAGTGGAGTTGAACCATCATTCCAAGAAATCACTGCACAGTGGCAGAAATACTGGCATGCAAGCTATTTCCCAAGAAAGTATCTCCCTCCTTTTCCCACATTGTAGAATGGAGCACTACTTCAAACTGGAAGGTAGATCTTCAAGAATTTAAGTAGATTTTAGAATGAAACAATGCAATTAAGAACAAATGAGGTGTAAAAAACTGGTACAAACAACAACTATTGGATAAGTAGTTTCCATGCTTTAGAACAGGCTCTGGTAGTTTTCTAATACTGACAGCTTACTCCAAAGTAACTTAACAGATTTCTTTGCATCATTGATAAAATATCACTGTTCCCAGAAACTTATAATCATTCCACAAATGCTTTTAATTTACTTAATATAGATGCTCTTACCAAGGTCCCAATGCATTTGGGGAACAAACAAAATTGTTTGACTCAAAGTTACGACAAAAGCAAAAAATTGAGAAAATATTTAATTAAATATTTGGAAGGTAAATACTGTTTAGATCCTCCACTATTTCTTTCATGTAAATTTCACAATACTAATACCATGCAGAACAAAAATTATGAGGGGGTTTTCTGTGACAAAATATGTATTCTTTCCCACTTTCCTAATACATTCAGGACACATGGACATTCTCAGGGAATCTTAATTCTTTAAAGTGCTCTGTGATAACTTTATAGCATTCCTTCCGCCTTAGTAATGCTAGGTTACAGCCAGTTATCAAAACAATTCAAAGCAGACTCAAATTCAATAGACACAACTTCCTGTTTCTTATTCCCTAATTGCACACACTCAGTTTCAGCTGGAAAGGCTACAGACTATGGCATGCTATAGAAAACCCACACATTTCCAGATCTGTTTTGTGCTCGTGTCCCATCCCACCTTGTGAAACCTAGATAGCAGATTGAATCTATCAACAAATTTCTATACAACCAGAACTGAACTTCCGAAGCAAAATGAGAACAATACCTGATCATAGAGCTCATCTGCCATTGTGGGTTTGGGGGCAGTTGTCCACTTAGCACCCTGGTTGAAATAATCTTTGATTATTCGTCTATATGCTCTGTACTCAAAGAACCGAGCACGCCAAGCCATAGGTGCTTCAATGATTTCATTTCCCACCACCAACAGAATGTCTCTTGGCATGGCAGCATACATACCTGAAAGAACAAAGGCCATCAACCTACGAGACAAGTATGCTCTTCTCAGCTCTTTCAGCTTATTCACATTTCACCCTCCTTTCTACTATTACCTCTATCCAAAAGAATGGCAAAAAGCATCTCTAGCAAAATAGGGAAACCAGCACATAATTTGAGGTCCTCATGTTCTTCAGTAGGTTTTCAAATGGATTTTTTTGTTTAAAATAATTGCAACTTTTGCTACAAAGCCTCACTCACAAGTTCATGGCTAGATGAAATCCATCCACAGTCTGCAAGCCTCTGCTTCATAATGGCAGAAAAAACATAGCAAGGGAGTCTAGCAACAGATGCTGGTGTGGGAAGTTCAGGTTAGGCATTAGGAAAATTAGTTTCATGAGGAAATCCATGAAGCACTAAAAGGTCAGCAAGCCAGGTGGCAGAATCTCCATCCCTGGAGATTTTCCAAGTCACAGCTACAAAGAGCCATAACTGACTTCATCTAGCACTGGTAATAATCTTGCTCCAACAAGACAGACAGACTAGATGACATCCAAAATGTCTTAGAAAAAAGCTAAACAAACAAGTCCTTCAACAAGGGAAGTACATTTACCTGTAGACTCAAAATCAGGTGTTTTATACTTCGCAGACCAGTCAATTGGATCAGGCCTCTTGACAATGACACCTTCTCTTTCCAAAATATTGCACATCTCTTCAATTTCAGCAATAGCTTTTTTTAAATGGTCTTTGGGGAAGCTCTGGCCTCCAAATTTCTGATAAAATCCCCAATACTTTTCATGTGTATTGGCCTAAAACAAAGGACGGGTAAGTGACAAAGAATAAGCATCAGTTATTTTGGTAGAGTGAAATAAATGTGTAAGACACAATTCTTAATGTTCAAAGTTTCTTGTTTTTCTTTCACCGACTTCCCATTATTTTTACATGTGTTGCAACCTTAACATGTCATAGTGTGCCTTATATTTGATTCCAGTGATATTTTGAAGAGTTTCTAAGAATTGTTAAGGTCCAGCTGATTCTTCTAGAATAAAGGGGCAGGAGAGGGGGGGAAAGAAAAAAGGGAAAAGCAACAATGCTTCAGATAAATGCTCAATTATTCCTGGTTGGGATTCCTTCGCTGGTAGCACTCTGCTGTCTTTATTTTTTGTTCTACTACGTCTATTTATATACACTATTGGCAAGGTTTCACTCAGATGTTTTATGTGTATGTGTCCAGTCATTAAACTTACAGAAATGCAGGTGTTAAGACTAGTTGTGAATGGCTGAGGTCTGCACAAACACATTCAGTAACAAAGTTAATTTCAGCTGTATGTGCTAAGCAGGGTCATGGAACTATGAGACAGCTTCAGTACTGCTAGCAGACTGTACATGTGGCATGATGCCCAAGACAAAACATCCTCTGAGGAACACCAGGAAAGAAGGGAAAGCTATTCTGCAGTGTGGAGAAATACACATTTCATTCCCACTTACAAGTTAGGTTTGACTTTTAGATGGGATTTTCAGGATATTTCATTTCCTCCTATTTTTTGATATAGAAGCATCAGTAGCTTATATTACTTGCTTGTACTGATGGAAATACTATTATAAGGTAATAAATATTTCTAGAGGTCTTTTTTCCTCCTTAGCCATAGCCCTACAAAAAGCATAATTATTATCAAATAACACATGAAAACCAAGAGACTACATTACACTTCAGCTGGTATTGCCAAGTGGCCATGGAAGATTTGGTCCTTACTACACTAGACCCGTACAAATACAGCAAACATAGCAAACGCCATAGACTCTGCTAGTTAGTAATAGTAGCAAACATGTTTTTAAATGAAAACCACCTTGAGCTCATCTCCAAAGCACATACATCTGTAATCACCTTGTTAAAACCTCTTTGGTACCATCACAGTGGTGACATGGGGAATTCTAAAGCCATCCCAAGTACAGGTAACATGGCTTGCAGGCTAGAAAGGGACACACTTCAGGTACAGCAGCAGTCTATAAAATCTAAGAGATACTAAATTCACCTGTCAGGGTTGGACTAAAGCAAGTACAGCATTTACAGGCCTAAATCCTCTGCTCTTGAAATCCTGTGATGGTCTTCTCAAAAACTAATTCAAAATAAGGTCCTGGTTCTCATGGTTAAGAAAATCTGCACATAATCAAAGTAAACACTGATGCTTCAGTTCAGTGTATTGTTGGAAGTACATCATTCAGATTTATGAACTACGAAACCAGCAGTTTTGATGGGTCTCTGCTAACACTAACATGACAGAGGAACAAGTGCATGCAGAGCCCTTCTGGAATAGTAGCAGAAGGGGTCAGAAACAAGGGTCAGGAAAAGGAGCAAGTTGTCAGTCCTTCCTTCTACCAGAGTCCTACTCATTCAGCCAGCGTCCTTCCTGAAGGAATTCATTCTTCATTCATCCTTCCTGAAGGAGTTTGTTCTTTTTTTTCCTAAGTGAGGTCTTGGGTAATTTGATCACCTCAGACTTGCCAGCTGTTCAGAAGTCACGTGCAGATCACATGAAGTGCCTAGCATTCTTACAGAAGCCTGTTCTGCTAATGAGACAAGTTTGTCCTAAGGAGTAAAGCTAGAGCTTTGTTTTCAGAGCCAGCCATGACATACTTGAATTTCATCAGTTCATAAGAGGTATAGCTCCCCTCTTTGCCACACACCTCTAGTACTGTTCTTTTCCAAACCTGAGAAATTACACTTGTGTTGCACGAATACAATGGCAGAATCTTAAATTCATGACAGAGAAAGAGTTAACACCATCACACCACTCATGTTTCCTACCTTCTGAATAAGTAGGAAGAGGGTATATAGCTGGGAAATCTACTTTATACCAATTCAGGGTTGAGATTTCAGGCCCCTTTGTTTGCATATGTAAAACTCATTTAGACATTTCAAAAAGTACCGGAACACAGAAGAGATCCTTTATAATCTCAATGCACCTTTTAACCAACTATCTGAGAGTACCCAAGAAAGTGTAGCAGCATTTAAGAAAAACTCCAGAGTGTGCTGTAAGGAAACAATTCTCTTTAACAAGCAGCTCCCTGTAGTTGCTATATATTTTAAACAAAAATAATAAATAATTAACATTATCAACTACCTGCTAGTCTGCAGCTATAAAACTCAATCTTCTCAGACTACTAAGTAGAAAACTGCACTTTTTTTAAGTAGTAACCCTATGCAGTTTTGAGCCCAATTAAACTTTCAGCAGTCCTACCAACTATCTCAAAAGCTATACTGTGTACTTTGATAGCATCAAGGCTCTATTACTGGAGCAGACTGCACATACTAGAGATTCTACTATTGACTTGTTAAATCCACTAATTCAGTTGGAAGTGGAAAGCAGCAGCACACACACAACACAGCTATGCTGTAAAGTTTCACAGATGGAAACAACTACTTTGAAAGAAGAAAGAATCTTCAAGAGTAAACACCACACTGTGTGCACTGTAAAGCTTAAACAGATTTATAGATAAAAGCCCACATTATTTTCTACTAAAGGTTGGGTTGTTTACCTTAACCTCCACTGAAAAAGGTGGGACACAAGCATTTTCAGCTCTTCCCACGATGACCTCTTCCAGTGGGTCCCATTCATTGTATGAACAAACAAGACAGTCCTTAGCCACAGGGCTAGTAGCCTTGTCATCAGCAGCAAAAGTGTTCTGGGAGGCGGTAGCTGCCTGGGTGCTCTGGAAAGATCGCTGCACCCATCCTGTAAAGACTCTTCCAAGCTTAAAATAAAAATAAGGGTGAACATTATGTTTGCCTTAAAAAAAGCAAAAAGCAATGGTTCAGTCCACAAGTGCCTTACACTGTAATCCCAAAGCAACACGCACTATTTGGAGCATGAACAGAAACACTTGTTACAGACATTCCAATTTATTCACAGCTTACTAGATTCTTATGGGACAATTTGCCCTTTAAAATCCATTCAGTTTAGAAGGATGATGACATAGGAGCACAACATTGACAGTGGCAAGTGGAGTCACCAAACGCTGTGCTCCTGAACTGGGTGGATGCATGGGTCAGCCTCAGTCAAAGCCCGCAGCCGCCCCACGCCCGCTCCCCCCTCTCGG